GCGGTAATTATTTTATTCCGAAAAAAATATAGTTCGAACTCTGTTTAAATAAATAAAATTTAATTTATAGTTTAAATTGCGCAATTTTGTTTTCGTTTATGTCGTTGCTTCCTGCATACTCATGGTTTCAATGTACTCAATTCTTCCAGAATAAAATGATGCTCACTCCCCAGCTGTTTCATGACATCATCAGGCCGTGTCCCGCATGCGAAACACGTGAGTTTTTACCTGAACAGAATATTATACTGGAAATCGCATCTTGCAGCCTATGACATTCGTCTCCACGCCCCACATGTACTTCCATGCTCACACACATTCTGTATGATGTGTCTGTCGAAGCACGAACAAAGGAAGAAGAAAAAATGTCCGATTTGCGATGCGAAGTATTCAAAGTTTGCTCCAAACTTGGCTCTGATGGGTTAGTCAATCTGGCAAGTGTATTCTTCACCTTTCAATTGTTTCAGAAGTCTCGGAGCGCATCGATGAACGGAGAGTGTTCTTGGAGTCAGACACGCGACAATGCGATGAGTGCGACAATCGAGTGAAAACGAGCATGATGAGAAGATGTGAAACTTGTGAGAAACAATTGATGACAAGAACAGAATACAAATTGGTAAGTGCAAAATGTTTTAATAATCAGTACCCGTGTTAATCTCAGGAATGCATAATTTGTTTGGAATGTTGTGTGAACTCTCACAACGGACACAATTTCATTCGGTTCAACACTGCTCCATCTTCCTCAATTGAGTCGTCACCGATGCTTCAGCAGCGAGCGCGGCATCCGTCAACATCATCTACAGTGTCTGTTCACTTCAGACATCCATCTACAGTGTCCGGGAGATTGTGAGATTTTTGCAGGCTAGTCTACTAATTTCGTTCATTTCTTCTCAGATCGACTACCAAAGGGCTCATTAATACCATCAAAAGTTGGTCGTTTCGATCAAGTAACGAACTTTCCTTCGTTCTCTCTCCCCCATCAAAACTAGCATTCAGTGAAGAAGACATTGTGATGCAGTGCCAGTCGCCTTTCTACGGTATTAGCTGTTACAAACGTTTTCACTTCTTAAATGTTGTTTTCTTTCAGAAAACGAAACAGCGCAAAGTCAGCACCAGATCCTTCGAAATAGAATGTCCTCATCCCGTTTCCTTTGCTATGATCCAAATAATCCAGATAACATTTCGGTGGACAGTGTCTTCGGTCAGTTTTTTCCCCATGATACGTTTGATAGAAAATACGTTCCAGTTGAATCGCCACAATCTCTTCCCAATAACCTGACGCCACGAATGTCTTCATCATGCCGTTCGTCGTGCATTCAACACAAAAATGACTCTGGAGTTATGATGACACCATCTTCGTCGTCTTCTCCAGCAACACCATCAGTCGTGACGTCCCACCCGCACTTCTCTCGATCCGCGACGTCACTGCGGATTCCCTCACCCGCCACTACTTCAAAGATTCAAGGGATCCAAAACTTTTTCGGTTCATCCAGAGTACCTCGAAACAATCGAATGCAAATGGGCGTTGCGGACATTATTCGCACGTAAGCTTTAGCAATCTTCTCAATGATTAAATAGAACTGATACCTGTCTCGAAGATAGCTTTAGGAAACCGTAACAGATCAAATTAAGGACCTAATATCGAAAATCGAATTTAGAAAACGGAGAGAAATTATATCGAATCCTACAGACCTCACCGACCAATGCCACATCCTCTCTACACATCGACTCCGAATAACTTGAATGGTGTTCGAAACTCAGAACGCATGGTGTATCCCCCGACACCTACTCGCCAACCACGACAATATTTTTAAAGTGTATGGAAGTTATTGTTGTCTGTTTTTTGTTTCATTTGAATACTCATCCAACCAATTGTTCTTTGGAAAGTTTCGAATTTTATATGGATTTATTTATATGTATTAGCTTGTTTTATGATTTAACTTTTTTCGAGCATCTCTCGAGTTTGAGAGTTCCCACCCCAAATAATACAGTTTTCAGCATATCTATATTTTTTATTTCATTCCTCATATCTCGTGCTTACATTCTCGTCCGATCTCAAAATGCTAAGAAAAAAAAATAAATCAATCTAAAATTGTTTAGTTTTGTCTCGACGTTTACAGTGAATAGAAAGAGGAGACAAAGATAAATTGTAAACATATGTATTGGGGAAATTGTGATTCTCTTCTGTTTTTTTTTGTCTTCTCCATTCTCTCGTCAACATTAAAACTTATCAATAAAAATGCGACGTCTTCTAGGTTTTATTCTTATCTTCTCTGTTCAATGGGTTGTTGAGTAAGTCGATATTGATCGAAATATTCTGAAATGAATTGAATTCCAAAAATAAGAAAAACGCCATCAGAATCATGGATTTTCAGAGGCGCATCGAGCTCATGCAAATCAATAGTCTGTCCTAAACAAACTGGAAAAACTATACCATGTGATATGTGTCATGATTGTTTGAATAGTGGGTCAAGGTAAGTTTCCTAATACTAAAAACTAGGTCTGAAATCCTGATAATTATGTTAAACTGCTTAAAGGTGGTGTACGGTGAAATTTTTTATTGCATCAAAATGTGCAGAAATGCATGTAGATTGACATTAAAAAAAAAGAAAAAATTCAAAAAAAATGCCTTCATCGAGAAAAATGCATCGAAAAATACACTGAAAGCCCTTAGGGACGAAGTTTTTTTCTAGGCCGCCCGGTGAGTAAAAGCGCGCGAATTCAAACTTTT